TCAGGCATCCCTGGTTAGTTTCGAGTTTATTGCCTCTCGGGGTCTCTGGGCAATTTTGGCGAAATGGCTGACAAATAAGAAGTGGCTGCAGGAGTGCAGTCTGAGGAAATACTCATCTGCATTCAGAAACCAGCAGACGTGGCACAGTTGGGTATGTTGCCAGTGAATTATTTTAAGGTGGCACAGCTGTAGTCCACCAACTCTCCAGCCTTCTGCTGCCCTAGCCCTCAAGTTGTTTAGGAAAGCCCAAAGAAGCCAAGGTTGCTCCCCAGGGCACAGCTGGCTCATGCGCTAGGTGAGCCTGGGTGCCTCCTGGCCTCGTGGAGGCTTCAGTCCCCAAAGGCCAAGAGGTGCCAAGCACCCCAACCCCACCTCCGGGGCTTCCACGCAACATTGCAGGGCTATTAATCCACAAGTCTTTTGCCACAGCAACATGTTGCTCAAATCTCCTGCAGCACGGCTGGATCTGCAGCACCTCCTCCTTTGTCCCACACCGTCCCTCATTGCCTCCTTCTTTATAGTCTCCTTTAATCAGACCGCAGCTAATCCCATCCATGCCTAAATAAACGTAAGGTAGTATAAGCTGCTTAGGTTTACTTAATGGCCCATACCTCCTCTTCCCAGCCTCCTTCAAACTCTCTCAGCTAAAAGATAATTCTCTTCACAGTGATCCATAAAAAAAAGCACATTTGTAGTTCTTTAGTAGTCCATTTTTGCAGATTTCCAGACTTAATGTTTTAGCCTCTAAAAAGTGAAAATCAAAAGGGAACATTCTTTAAAAGCATAATTTCACACTCCTTTTCTGCCTCTCTCTAGGATTAAACTAGCAGACAGTATTTAGTCTGGTGAGACAGTAGCATAGGACATTTCAGAAAGGATTTTTTTGGCAGAGAATATGGAACGAATTGCAGATATTGGCAGCTGGACTTGCATATAGCTTTAAACTGACCTGCCATAAGCTTAAGCAATGCACAACTGAGGGACAGCCAGCATTGCTAAGCTTTTCTAACTATTACATCTTTCTGCAGAGATAAGCATCAGTATATTCCTTTATCTAGCAAGCTACTGTAGGTATCATGAGACCTATTGACTCATGATCATTAGTAAAGTCACAAACCCACAGTTACATTTATCTACAGTAAAACATTTTGCTATCTATGCTATCAAAATATAGCAGAAGTCAAAAGAAAGTATGTAAATCATTATCAGAATCTAAAATGTTTTGTAGTAATTACAGTTCAGTGAAAACCAGATTGGAAAAAGGCTCACACATCCTTAGGCTGTTGGGAGTTAACTTGCTTACGCAGAAGATGTCAGAGCATCATTTTAACATGGAATATGATCATTCTTGAGGACAAGTTTTCTTGAGGACAAGTTTCTGCAAATTTGTAAATGATAACGAAAAACGAAATGAAGGAATAAATCTGAACCTTTAACCAGAACATAGCCAGAAGAATTTCACCTTTCACTGTACCCACATTGCAATTTTCTCATTTCTACACTTCCCAGTTTTGACTAGCAATGGCAAAGGCATACTGAGAGGGAAGAGAAGTGGCTTTGCTGGTATTTTGCTCAGAACAGACCAGGAAGTATCAGACATCTAGATAAAAAATAAAGTCTGAATGTAAGAGATTTCCAGACAGATTTCTCAAGCTCAAAGTTTCAGATCAGTGTGGCTAACCTTACGATAAGTGTTTCAGCTTGTTTTAAAAGATAAGGTCTCTAACCTGTACCCATTAAAACTGAATGGAGTGTTTTGGTATGTTTTGGATTGGGCTCTAGACTGGAGAATAACCACAGGAAAAAACTCTTCATTGTATTAATCAGCATGAAGGGTACATTTGTTGCTGTTTTAATAACATTTCCTAAGATCCCTGCTTTTGCATAACAGAGTGTTGAGATAATGCATCAATTGAAATTCTTAAACAGAACATAATATTTTCCTGTTAATGAGAAAAGTGGTGTATTACGGTGGCTGCCCATGTGTCAGCACAATCAGCCAGGCTGCCTGGGGGGCTGCTGGCTCTCCTGGCTGTTCTTGTCAGCCCCCAAGCTGGAGGCACAGCATTGCTGCGGGAGCAGGGGCAGCTGCCCCAGCCTCAGGCTACCTTCCTGCCCTCAGCACAGATCTCAAAGTACCGCAGTTTTTGCAACATTTAAAAGAAAATCGAGGTATTTCTAGACACCCTGAAGGGCTTAGTCACATTCCCAGGATCCTCCAGGCAAATCCTTCAAGTTCTGGCATATGGCACCATTTCTCAGGATGTTTCTCTGAGCAGAAAGGAGGGGAGTGTTCAGCTCTGCTTCTTTCCTTGGCAAGAAGGCTTATAGCTGGAGATGAGGAAAAGCATCTCCGAGGCATGGGAAGTAGCGTTCCAGTAACATCTGGAAAGTACCTCCATAAAGGAAGAGCAGTTGAATTCATGCAAGAAGTAGGGGTAACCACTGGTGTGTTACTTCTGATAGCCAAAAACTTTGGCTGTAGGTCTGATGATTTGACTTCCTCTGGGTGGGTACCAGAACCAGCTGATGGGGTGAAGTTTTCTGCCGTGCCAGTGAGAAGGATCAGCGGCCGATGCCAGAAGGCAGGAAGAGACTTTACCAGATTTCCAGACTGCTCAGCCCCTGACTTTGTGGCATTGTACCCTCCTTTTCCCAGCCTCCCGTGCTCCTGGCTACTCTAGGAAATTATTGAAGCAGCATGTGGTTGGGAAGTCACCGGTGAGTACTGTGCTGGCATCATGCAGTAACAAAATCACTGGAGTTTCAGCTACCACCACTCCTAAGCTCTGTCAGAATGAAACTCTTCAGTGAAAACTGTGGGTAGACTCTGAGTTTTCACATTGCCAGCAAATCTAGGAGTATATGGGCAAGAAAGAGATACTACTTGGTGCAGTCCAGACTTTCTAATGCATGGCTGATTTCCATTAGAAAGGCTGAATTGCACTGGCCATAGGAGGATGTTTGTCTATTAACAATCCTTCTGACCTTTGCAGGGTTCCTGCAATTTCTCCTCTGATGCAGATGGCAAAGGGTCAAAATAAACACCCATGCACCTGAGGATCAGCAGTTTTCCGTTATGGTATCGTAGCACGTTCATTTTGTCCTGCTTCATTGTACCCACACCGAGATGCCGACTCCATGAAATACTCGAGGTTCAGAATGGCAGCAGAATGTGACTTTGGGAGGCTACAAGGAAATTGGAGGTGTCTGCTTGGTGACTAACGTGCTGATTGTAATATCTGCCTGCTGAATTTTGCATAATACATGGAAGAGAACTACAGAAAAGGAAGTCAATGGACTTGGATCCATTTGTATGCAAACAGCTAGGTGAGCTGCTGCTGCTGAGATTTGGACAAGACAAGGACATTGTGGTGCTAAACTGGGATTGTTCCCTACATGTATTTTCAGACCAGTGCCGGGAAACTGGAGATAGATGAGTGAAATTAATGTTACATTTGGTTTAAATGTGAAAAAAAAAAAAAAAGAGAAGAACTAATTATATGTTGCTGGCTTGATCTGTGCTTTACAAATTTGCGTTTATGAATTTTTTTCTCACGATTAGCAATTTCTATTTGAAAGGGTGAGGAAGTGCTTGGAAGAGTGAATTACTGCTCACCGCTGCTGCCAAGTCTCATGTTTTAATTTAAAGTTTCATGATTTTTGATGCATTTCTTAAAACTTACATTCTTGGAATAAAGATTCTATAACATTTCCAGCTTTTTTAAAATGTAAAACATGAAGTGATTTCACCTAGAAGATTAGATCAGATCAGATCTAAAAGGCAAATAAAAAGAATTCTAAATGTGTTATTTTAAGCATCCTTCATGATTTTAGGTCTGTTTGATGGGATTTGAGAGGCCTGATTCCTGAGGGTTTAAGGAAGTTCTGTGCTTTATTCATATGAAAAATAATACGTCAATTACACAGGTACTTTTTCAAAACCAGCTGCAATAACTAAAGGAAGAGAAGCATTTGCAATGACAAATACAACGGAGGTGTTTGCTTCACTCTTTCATACAGTCCGTTTCAGTCAGCTCTTAATTTTCCTTCTCTTTATTATGGGCAACTCTCTGAAGGAAAGGATCTGAGATGGTTAGAGACCAGCGGTTTAAGAAGTGCAGTTCAGTACCTACCTGCTCTGGACTTGGGCAGGCAATGTAGGGCCAGTTGGGCAGACAAGTTTTATTTTCCATTTAAGAAATCTTTGGAATTCTGGAATTTGTCATTCTGGAAGCATTTCTCAGCTGGTTCCCTCTTTTCTGTCGCAAGCTCTGTGTTCTTGCAGAAGTGGCTTATTCAGAGAAATGCTTTTGATCTGAGCTCAGGTTCATCCTGTCAATGCATAGACAAGAATTAGGCTTTTATTTTCCTTGGATTTGAGATTTCTTTTCTCTTTCTGCTGCAGATCCAATTTGCCTACTCCAGCCAAGACTATTTGTCAGTGATTACTACAATGCATCAGCCGTTACTGTGTAACTGAAGAAATTAATGCAGATTAAACAGTATATTGCCATAGGAATATTCCATTCAGTCCTGGAAAGACTAAATGAGTGTAATACAAACAGCATCTTCAGGCCAGTCCCAGTTTCTTGCAGCTCCCTTTCCCATTTCATTTAGGGTAGAAGCACATTTAGCATGGAATATGCAAGAATGCTAGAGAGGTTTGCAAAAAATAAGATGAAAGGAATGAATTAAAGGAAAGAAATAAGACTGGGAGACTTTCTTCTTATCTGGGCTGATTTTGTGAACACAGCATGGTGTGTTATAAGAGTCAAATGACTGTTAGTGTTGCAAATTTCTCCACTGTGTGTCAGACTGAGGTCAAATCCTGTTTCTAACAGATGCTTTGCTCTAGAGCAGCGTTGATTCTTCATGCAAACAAACTCAGGGTTTTTTTTTTTTCTTCTTTTTATTCTTAAAGGTCAAATATAGATACTGGAAGCTTTGCTTCCCTATGTCCTTAGTACAAAAAGAGGCTCTTCTGTGAGCTTTTCCTCTAACTTCCTAACACTTTTTTTTCATAGCAATAGTGCGTTAGCCCTCGAGCTGGATGCAGTGCAAGCATATGATATAACGTGATCCTTGTTCCCAAGAGCTTATGGTGTAGGTAAAGCAGAATTATGATATAAGGAACACAGTAGGGGAGCAGTTATAAAAAAGCAAAATTCAAGGTCTCCTTCAGCGAGGGATGACTGAAGTAAAAAGGATGGTATGTGGACAGATTTGGGCCCTGAAATACGTCTGTCACTTTTTGCTGTTTCTCTTCTGAAGGCTCAGAAGAGAGGTCGCTTCCTGTTAACAGGGCTGTATTTTGCCATGTGGTCAGGCATGTCCTGGAGGCTGCAGGTTTCAAGATTTTCTTATGAAAACATATCTGTGATGTTCAAAATTTGGGACTTGAGAGAAAGGAGATATAGGTGCAATAAGAAAACACATGGTGAAATATTGTAAATATTGAGGTTAGGACACATAAGGTTCATGGTCGCACAAAGAGAACGATGGCTCCACTGGAACTAGGCACAATGGTTTCTGCCTTGTTTACAGGGAGTCACAAAATCTTATCTTGGAACAAAAAAAGTCACCGAGCCTACAGTTATTTTAAGACCTGTGTGTCCTGGTTTCAGCTGGGATAGAGTTCATTTTCTTCCTAGTAGCTAGGAAGTAGCTGGTATAGTGCTGTGTTTTGGATTCAGTATGAGAATAATGTTGATAACTGATGTTTTAGCTGTCGCTAAGTAGCGCTTACACCAGTCAAGGACTCTTCAGCTTCCCATGCTCTGCCAGGTGCACAAGAAGCTGGGAGGGGGCACAGCCAGGACAGCTGACCCAGACTGGCCAAAGGGCTATTCCATACCATAGGACCTCATGCTCAGTATGTAAGCTGGGGGCATGGGCGGGGGGTCAGCAATTGCTGCTCAGGGACAGGCTGGGCATCGGTCAGCAGGTGGTGAGCAATTTCATTGTGCATCACTTGTTTTGCATATTCTTTTATCATCATTATTATTATTATTTCCCTTCCTTTTCTGTCCTATTAAACTGTCTTTATCTCAACCCACGAATTCTACTTTTTTTTCTTTTTTTTTTTTTCTGATTCTCTCCCCCATCCCACCGAGGGAGGGGAGTGAGTGACCAGCTGTGTGGTGTTTACCTGCCTGATGGGTTAAACCATAACACTGTGTCATGAAAGCAGTAGCGAGATTAAAACAAACAGATTTTAAGCTTGTTAGCTTCTCACCTCCTTTTGAACCCCTCTGTTACATTATGAGGCTCTATATTTTCCTTTCTTTAAAGTCTTTTCAGCTCCCTTTTTTGTTGTGTGGAAGACTCACACAGAGCAACAAGGGAAAACATGCCAGATAACGGATATACAAATAACACTATCTGATGCAGATATAAAAAACTTATCTTTTTATATCATTTCTCAGAATAACCTAAGTTTCATGCAGCAGAGCGAAGTTTCTTAGAAGTCACAGGAGGTCCTGTGAGGGCGGCCAGAGGAGCAGAGCTGTTTCTCCTGCCGTCCTCTCGCTATCCGGAGTAGGAATGAGGCCAATGGGGCTCCCAAGTCCTTCCTCTAATTTCTGAGCTCCAGCAGCAACCCTACAATGACAGGCAAAGGAAAGAGAGTTGACAGGGTTTGATATTCTTAATGGAGAGCTTATAAAGCTAGCCTAAAAGCATATCACAGAACAAAGGAATAAAAAGGAATTAAATCTTTGCACCTATGTCTTTGGGCACCATATTCTGTGACTTTGAGATGCTGCCTTTTTCAACCATAGCACAACTTCCCAGACTATAACTTATCTTGTTAAGTGTGTAACTACCATAGCAATCACAAACAAAAAAATTTAATGGAACTAGTTCAGAACTGAGCATTTTTTTCTTTTTCAGCTTTGGTGTCTACATGTGCTAGGCTATGCGCTGTGCTTTAGAGACATGGAAAGGGAGATCACAGTTCCTTCCCAGAAGGATTATCTGTCCTGTTTACACTGATATTCTTGTCAGTTTATTCAGACTGGCAAAGCAAGATGACCTGGACTGACACAAAACCTCTTTTCTGAACATAAGCTGACCCACAGCAAGGAAGATGTACTGCTCTTATAAAACAATATCAAACATTTTCTAATATAATCAGGGTTTGGAGGCCAAATGCAGAAAGATGTCTAGGTACTTAACTCCATTGAAATTAGGTGGGAAAATTGTTTAGCATAGTTTCTATCTGCAAAGAAGCTAAAGAAGGCATGCAAAAGATTATTTCTGCAACCAGAAGATGCCATTAAAATAGACCTTGCAGAACACATACAAGCCTAAGGAAATTAATTAGGAGACCTTAAATCTTCCAACAACATGTCTTTTTTGAGCTGCAATATTCTTGCAGTATCCACATAGGCTTCTTTGCACCCTGTTAAAGACAGCATCAGACTGGATTTGCCTGATGGGAGTAGTATCACAAGTACCTGTGTAACCTTAGCATAGTCCTGTCGTCTCTTCTGCCTGTTCCCATTCCTGCCCTAGGACTGCAGAAGCATTTTCTGTTCTCTGTTACTGAAAGTCATGCTTACTTCAGGGATAAATTTCTGGCAAAAACCCAACAAACTAGCATAAACCAGCAAACAGGGTGAGAAGAGGCAGCACTTGCACACTTATAACTTTAACCCCCTGCTACATGAGGATTAGTTGGCTGAGTGGAAATGCCACTACTGTTGTGGAGTTACAACTATTGTTGTGACTCAGGAAAAGAACCATCTCTGAATCGGATGAAGTAACCCCATTGCAGTATGAAGGCAAGGTTCAATGGAAGCATTTGCAGCCAATTCAGAAGGCAGCCAGCTTGATGCCCAGCAGATCTGCAGAGCCAGAGCAGAGATAGTCCTGCTTCTGCTGGACCAAACCACGAATCTCCCAGGAAATTTGGCAGGAGTGCATTGCCAATCAAGCCATATAAAATTATTACGGAGAGAAAAAAGCAAGCAACTTTATTTCTGAGCTGAGCAGAAAGAAAACTAGCTAGCTTTAAATGGAGATTTTTAATTAAATTTTACAAGTATTTTCTGGAAACTCCTTATGGTTGGTACATTCTTGAAAATGGTGTTGTGTTATTTATTTAAATTG